GTGAAGATACGGATTAGGATTGATCTGCAGTAACCCATGCTTGTCGTAAAAGGCGACTAACGGGATCGGGTGGTCAGGCTTGCTGACTTGGTCGACACATCTCATTGTATCCCAATTGCGTATATCGATGCTCATGATGTTGATCACTGGATTGTCTGGTCCATAATCGAATATTTACAGACCGCCGCCATATAGCTGGGATATCGCGGCCCTAAACAACAACCCAACCAACCATTGTCTATATCAGGACAAACATGAACCAATGGCCAATCATATTATGTCTCGACTTGTTGTCCAGCTGGCCGCTGTCCAGCAGTGCCCCTGGTTGTGTGTAATTACACTATCCCTCCCTTCCCCAGGTAGACGCTTAACAGACCCCTTGTTGGCACAACAGGAAGCATTCAGCCCTCTGGATAGACAGTGTCATCCGTCTAAAATTCCTGTCTTGAAGGAAAAGAAGAAAAAAAAGTCATTACCGTTAATATTTTGTGAGGCGCCGCTTTTGAACAGCATTCGGACTCGACAGGGTCATACGTCAAAACATCCTGTCTTATAGCCAAAGAAAATATGCCATCATGGTTAGTGTTTTTTGTGAGGCGAAGTTTTTGAAAACATTCCAAATATCCAAAGGCGTGCAAGCGTAATAATGTGGGAGGTAGTATATGACTTAAACGTAAGAAACTACCCATTCTTGATTGTCATTAAAGACAGACGTGGTGCTTTTCTACGTTTTCCACTAAAACCCACGAGAGCGGATATGATGCTGATTGCCCTACCAGTCGACCCGTGAAGGTCCGGGTTAGAATATTGATCTTCAGCAACCCATGCTTGTCGTAAGAGGCGACTAACGGGATCGGGTGGTCAGGCTCGCTGACTTGGTTGACACATGTCATCGTATCCCAATTGCGCAGATCGATGTTCATGCTGATGATCCCTGGATTGTCTGGTCCAGACTAGATTATTTACAGACCGCCGCCATATAGCTGGAATATTGCTGAGTGTGGCTTAAAACTAAACTCACTCACTCACAAACACAGTCGGGTCGAACTGGGATTCGAACTCACAGTTATACGTGTGTGGTGGGTTCAAAGGTCGAGACTCAGCTAATTGCGGCGCGTAAGACGACTCGTCCACCCATACCCCCACGTATTCAGAAACGATCGGCAGTAAAAATAATAGCATTGAAGCTGTGTGAAATATGTTGACACGCAGTCTTCTGAAATTGACATGCACTAAGCGCAACAGATTAGAGTCTTAATGATGACCATTTTGCTGAGGATGTGCAATACTCGAATTGTTTAACAACAGATATTTGCCACTAAAGTGACAATCACGAACGCAGGTGTGGTGTTGAAACCTAGATCAGGGGAAGTTTCTGGCTACAGGGATACTACTCTGTGGACCGGCCTGCAACGCCTTCCTTCCGAATAATCTCTTGGACTTGACATTCCTGGAGCACGTTTGTTCCACAGAACCATAACTGCATCTCTGTCTAGCCAATAAAGTTGTTTGTTTTGTTTGTTATTTATCCGCAGTCAGGAATATTCCAGCTGGGTAACGACGGTCTGTATATAATCGAGTCCGGACCAGACAATCCAGTGACTAACATCATGACCATCATCACAAGCTCTTGTTTGTTTGTTGTTTAGCGCCCCACGCAGCAATATTCCAGCTATATGGCGGCAGTCTGTAAATAATCGAGTCTCGACCAGACAATCCAGTGATCAGCGACATGAGCATCGATCTACGCAATTGGGGTACGATGACATGTGTCAACCAAGTCAACGACCCTGACCATCCGATCCCGTTAAATGCCTTTTACGACAAGCGTGGGCCAGTTCCATGCTCTTCATGGACCAAGCCAAAACTAACACAGGGGTCCTTACGAGCCCTTAAAAAATAAAGTTTCATTTTGTGCATCAATATACTTTACTATAATTCATATTTTTATGATACATGTACGACGCTGGAAATGACAAGCAACATAAGATAAAAAGAACTTTATTGTATATATTGTGAGGAAATTACAACTGGTACAGAATATATTTTTCTGAATATACAACAAACTGCAATGTATCCGTACGACATAGTTTTCAGAAAAACGGATGAGAAAAAATTACAAACAAACATACGTATCATATATCAATATTTCTATTAGAAAAATACCTCAAGCTAATGAACATGCATTTAGAATAGAGATACAAAGTGGCATCCTATTATGTTTAACCCCGTTAATCCAACAACGATAATGCGGACACTTATTCTCCCGGAAAGAGGAATGGGGGTATTTGGTAAGGTACATATTCAATAATACTTTATGTTTTAGAAGTGAGAACAAATCATACTTATACACTGAAAGTTGGTCCGGATTAACGGGGATGTGCTAGGATAGGGACCGTAGGAATCTCGTTAATCCATTCACTAATTAGATGACGAGGCATTTGGCTACCTTAAGAAAGTCATAGTTACTCCCGCCGTTTACGCGCGCTTGATTGAATTTCTTCACTTTGACATTCAGAGCACTGGGCAGAAATCCCAGTATTCACAGTAGGGAGGGTTATAAGAGATATTTTGCAACCAATTGCCGTTGCCCGGAAACAGTGTTTATGGCGTAGTAGGGGTAGTGAGTGAGTTCAGTTTTACGCCGCTTTTAACAATATTCCAGCTATATCACGGCGGGGGACACCAGAAATGGGCTTCACACATTGTACCGATGTGGGGAATCGAACCCGGGTCTTCGGCATGACGAGCGAACGCTTTAACCACTAGGCTACCCCACCGCCCCGTAGTAGGGATGGACATGTAGCTATGGGCGGTTTTAATCAAAGTTGAACAATCCTTGGTAGCATCATGTCAACAACAGAATTTTTACCACAGATAACAGAACAGGTTAGATAATCGGGTTAAGGGCATTTTCCCTCATCTGTAACGGTTCAAAGTATACTGGACAAAAAAATTAGGGATATATATGTAAATTTTGAAATTATGAATTATGATCTATTTATTCATTGACACACTGATAACATATCAATCATAAAAATACCAACATCCCTAACTTATTTTGTCCAGTATATTTATGGGATTCTTTACCCCCGTTAATACGGACGGAACCCCAGTGTTGGATCTACTGAGTTATCGTAATATTAATCGTTCCAAAGATTTTTGAATCAACTTACTTATAAACAACCAACAAACAAACCTTACATACAATGAATTAACAACGATATCGTGGTCGGTGTTCATACCTGTAGTGCCAATGAGCGATATGATGAAGGACAGTACCAATGGTCTTGGTAAGAGAGAGACAAGCTCATGTGAAAACAGACAGGATGGTTATGCATAGTCCTATCCAGTGAAAACAACTATGAGATATGGACGATCTATTTCGCAAGACAAAGGTGAATGAACTTTATAATTATTGACTCAAACACTCCTGGAAACAGACTAGGCGTTTCATTTCAATCATGTCCATGCACAAAATTATGGAATATGGAGTTCATCACATGAAAATATCTGGGTAATTATGACGATCAATATTGTCTAGTCCTACACAGTGTATCAGAAAACATCTCGAACCACGGAAGGTATAATTCAAAGGTCTTCACTTAAAGCTTTAATCTTGTAACCAAACAATGGTCAGTTGCCCTCTCTCTTATATACTCAAGCCAATAATGGTTGTCACCCTCCTCCCCACCCCAACCCCACACACACCTCACACCCACACCCCACACCCTCTCTCCAATTAAAAAAATTGAAGGGGGTGACAACCATTATTGGCATGAGTATACATACCATGGTGCTGCTATACTCGGTCCCTGTCTGAAACAGTACATTAACCTTTCCAGAACCGCGTCAAACATGCTTCCAATACAACCTTTTCCAATATTAAATAAATTACAATTTCTCCAAGTGATGTTTTCATGTCATTGTTACCATGCTGGAATCATGTCATTGAGTTTAGTCAAATAGTTGACGAATAAAAACGTAACTGCATGTATACACTTTTGTCGAAAATCAGAAATTCAACCAGCTTTATAACAGTAGTATACATGTTTTCCCCTCTTGAATCAGCGGAGACAGTAGGAACCTTGTGGATCTTCTGAGTGAATGAGTACGCCGTTTTAACAATATATATTCCAACAATATCATGGCGGGGGCACCAGAAATGGGCTTCATATTATACCCATGTGGGCAATCAAACACGGGTCTTGACGAGCGGGCGATTTAACCACTAGGCTATCCAACCGCCTTGCAGAGAGCCGCTGAGTATTCTGATGATGAAACATGATGCTCGTCACTGTGGTATTCTTCTATGAAAACAACACGAGATAACAACATACAGTGTGCTATAGGAAGGATAACGTAACAAATATAACATCAAGTAGTATAACAGAATAAGGTATAGTGACCAATAACTAATTAAACATGTCATCTAAACCAGCGGAATTCACTAGGATAATAACGGTATCAGCTGTACATATACCCTTTGTACAGTAATGTACAGTGTTAGTGTTAACCTCTGCAACTAATGCCATGGGGATGGTGGTGCTTTTCGTCCTGAATTGCAGTCCAAGTGATCAAAACACGAATTTGTATGGTACTGCGTCCTTGCTCTGATAGCTTTAAGCTGCACGTCTACGCCTGGAGTGCAGATTAACACCAGATTAAAGAGAGTTCCCCTTTAACACATAGAAAACCAAATCTAATATTGATTATGCATGACACTCGCAATTTGGAACTATCCACGAAATATTAACCCATTGTATGCCACGTGTATGTGAATATGTGCAGGATTTACAAGCTACAGCGTCGAATACATACAGGCTGCTTTTGCGAAGTATTTTCCAGTCATCCATGTATATAAAACATTATATAAATGCCACTTGCTTTGACTGTTGGACTACCTCAGTCAAGAAAAATTTTTCCATCTCAAGTTGCAGAGTCACTGCCTCTGTTTGCCCTTCTTAAACAGAATCCTCAAACACTGATTTCACTTGTTCTGTATACAGGTGAGATACCTCACAAAACTCAACTTGCCACACCTGGGATTAACCCTGAGATTGAGTTCCAGTGATACAAAATCCAGATCACGAATATTGACGTCATCCAGTTTGACATCATCGATGACATCTCAGCACTGTTACAAGCGTCCGAGTCGCAGCTGAGTATGCATCCCCGCATTTCCCTGCCGTTATATCTTAACACTCGCATCCAACCACAGTGGCTTTGCCGACCGATTTCTGTCTCGGAGTTGGTGCCACCGTCGTCGACGACACAGTTGCGGACGATGACGGTATTGCCGTTGGTATCTGGAACCAGAATACAAATGAGGTGAAACAAAATACACAGAATTAGGAACTCTAAGGTTTTGTTTGTTTGTTGTCTAATTCCTCACACAGCAATATTCCAGATATATGGCATCGGCCTGTACATAACCCAGTCTGGACCAGATAATCCAATGATCAACAGATTGAGCATCGATCTATGCAATTGGGATACGATGACATGTGTCAATCAAGTCAGCGATCCTGACCACCCGATCCCGTTAGTCGCCCCTTGTAACAAGCATGGGTTGCTGAAGACAAATACTCACCTGGATGCTCATTATCTGTAATAGGTAACATTATCTGTTTATGTATTTTACGATGCGTTGTACCGAACACTTAAACCACTCAGCTAAAATACCATAACATTTCTGAAATACCGTTTACTTCAACATTCTTTATTACTTCCCATTAAAAGTTTAGACTCACTAAGAACACTCACTATATATTGTGTATATATATGTGGTTACATCGAAGGTTGATTTCTCCACTTGGGGGAACCAACTGCAAACCTCATGCGGATGAACTGCACGAGGATAATGCATCAAATTGCTGAAAAGCATGTGCAAATATCGTGCATGTGAACAGCTGCGTTTTGGTGTAAAATTTGTATAGAATTCGCCACTTTTCACTGAATTTTAGCACTTATTAAACTCATGACAACAATCTTTTCAACGTTATTAATTTGTTTTACAATACATCAGTTCATGTGTAAACAGCACCTTTAAACAGTATGGAATATTTTGCCAAATTTAGTTGAGAACAGTTGCCTGAAGTAAGTGGCTATATTTACACTAGTGAGTCTAAACATTTGATGGGAAGTATATTTTGTTATTTCCTTTTGTTTATATTCTTATGATGATGTCTTCGTCGTTAAAGACGCCGGACTTAGAAGTGCAAACGTACGTCTTTGAAAACTTCGTATACAGAGCATGTTTCACCCATATATAAACATACTTATCCAGTTGGGGAATAAGATTCTTTCCAAGCATTGCATGCCAGTAGTTCTGATTTCGAGGGTGGTGTGGTAGCCTAGTGGTTAAATCGTTCACCCGCCTGGTGTCCCCCGCCGTGATTTTGCTGGAATATTGCTAAAAGTGGCGTAAAACTAAACTCACTTACTCTGATCTCGATATTGAGAAATGAATAGTCAATGTTACATTGTAATTTCAAGTGTATTAATGTTTTGGCCGTAAAGTGTCACTTGTCTGTTGTGTCACAAGCTGTTCCACGCCAGATCGATGACCATATTGAATAAGATGAGCAGGCAACGTTGTCACTTGGAAACAGGACTTGACTGTTTCTTTAAAGGCATCAATAACGCACACCTATTCAAGGCGGCTGTAATGAAAATCGGTTGCCATGGCAATGTGTGCGTCAGGCCGTATGACAGAATTGGTACAAACTTCACCTGCCACAACCATCGTCAGTTTGCTCATCATTTTCTTCATCACGGCTAATTTAGCAAACCCCTCGGAATTCGTCTAAATCTGTTTCCGAAGATGGCTATAACTCTATAATGGTCTTGTTTAACACCAACGTATTACCTCCCTTGGTATGAATGACACAGAAAGGTCACGCTGAACGTCTAAATCGAATTATTCCAAAGCTCATTCAAGCTAGACAGGTTAACTTAATACTAGTTCGAAAGAAAGCGAGTTCTCGCCGCTAGACAAGGTGTTCAATTTTCTCTCTGGCAGTCAAAACAGTTAAGTGGTATTTAAAGGTACGGGATGCCCAAATTTCTTGTCACCGGTGATATATTTGTGAGAAAATGGCGATTAACGCGGGAGGTTTAATGGCGCTATGGTGGGATTTACAGCCTAATCTGTCTGAAAGGCCACTGGAAAATATAATTGAAGTCTTACAGTCAATTTAGGAAAGGGGGTTTCCAGCCCAGCAGCAACGTTAGGGAGACGAAGCACGGGCTTGGTATTAACCTTCTAAAGCTGTCCCATTAGACAGCATTAAACACACCTAGCTAACTGTAGGCGACTAAATAAGCCTATCTACACCTAGTAACTTGGAGTACACAACGTTAACAGTGATAGATTACAGACATGCATGACAGGTATGTAGGAATACATGTAAATGTGTATTATACCTCCAGGAAATGTTTGGTCATTGAATATAAACAGCAGGTGATGATCATAAATGTAATGTTTTTCGGATGACAGCTAGAATGGCGAACGTAATACCATTGCATGGTATCACAATCCCCAAACGACTTAAAGTTGCAAATTTCTTTTCTTTACATGCAAATGTACATGAAATAATTGCGTATTTGTGTGATTTACCACAAAGAGTTTTAAATAATTGAGCAGAACGATTTCCATGCTAGTTCCATGATAGTTCTCATTTCCATTATTCGCTTCATGCATTCATTTCCTTTCCAGCTCTGTCAAAGTGGAGTAGATGTTGGGGCATTTCTGGCATAAAATTGATATATAACGTCCAATTAGGGGTGAATTGCATTGATCCCCCATTCAACACGTGCCAAATTTAGATACGAACAATCCATAAAATTGTCAGATGCAAATATCAACATAATGGCTTAACTGTAATCTGGTAAATGTTCTCTACAGTGACCAAAAGAGGGATTTTACTAATTTTATGAGTGCAGTTGCTGACAAAAGCTTCTTCGGACGTTATTTATCATTCTGAGTATACAAATCTGCATGTATGTCAATACACAAATGTTGAAACGTAAATTATATTAAGTGTGTAGTTGTGATAGACTTAACTGTAATTATATATATACTGAATTATACATATATGTCATGATACATCATCACAAAACATCTGGTTCTAAATAAAGATCACTTGTGTGTTCACCTCAAGGAACCTTGAAGGTCCGGGTTAGAATGAACCTTCAGTAATCCATGCTTGTCGTAAGAGGCGACTAACGGGATCAGGTGGTCAGGCTCGCTGGGTTGGTTGATGCTCATGCTGTTGATCACTGGATTGTCTGGTCCAGACTCGATTATTTACAGACCGCCGCCATATAGCTGGAATATTGCTGAGTGCGGCGTAAAACTAAACTCACCCACTCACTTTAAGGAGCGCATGTTTTGTCTGCATGATTTCATTAGCAAACATCAATTAACCACTGTATCACAGCTATACGTGATTAGAGTTTCTTTTGGAATTGAGTATATGAGCACTAATATGAGTAAGTGTATGTAGGCTCCAAGAGACCGGGCTGGTATGTTATCATTTAAATGGCCCCATACGCACTGGAATTGTACTGGTTCGTCCTTCTGCTTGCGAACTTACAATAAGGGTCATTATAACTGAGGCTGAATCCCGAGGGCCTCTCTGTCAGTACTAACAAGACAGGCACGTGAACTGTACAAGGTTAGGTTAGCACGACCTCTGATCTTTACTGATTAGAGTACAGTTGCTCGACTCCAATACCGTATCTCCGTTCGGAAACGTTTGAGCGAATACTTCTGAAAATCACTGAAGATACGATCAGTACGGTTCCTGTAAGTCTCATTCTCCTCTGAGTGTTTGGCAGTCTAAATCGTTTAATTGTTTCAAATGATTCGTCACTTCACCAGTTCCACAAATTGTTTTGTTTAAAAAAAACAGTCGAAATATCATAATATCAACACACCGACATTAACAAATGGATTTTAACAACACAACTTCATGAATGATAATGTTCTCTTTTCGCTTGAAGGAAGGGTAGATTCTGATAGTCAAGCATGCATGCTCGTTACCTTGAACGTAAGCAATTATCTTTGAGAACAAACATTCCAAGCACCATCGAAATGTTTTATGATATGTAATGGATAGTGCTACTTAATTGTGAGACATAATGAGTCTAACATGAAGACTTCCTGACGTCAAGTATCCCTTTTGTCATTACACGTATTGTGGAAAGAGTTAACTACCAATTCAATCATTAATTTTTGGCCCAAGGCCTTTAATCTGATTATTGGATAGGCCTTTTATTCTCTTTGTGATTCCTAATCAGGCAATAACCAACTGATCGCTCCCTTTTCTAATCACGATACAGATCATATATGGATGTTATCAACATTTAACTAAATTGATGGCGAAGGTGGCAATACGAAACGAATCACTATCCGAAGTTCTGATATATGCATGATACAGATGAGACCTAAAAGTATGATGATACCATAGCTGAAATAAATATTTAATGTTTCAAATATTTCTTAAATTCAGATCATCAGGTATTTTATTTAATACCAAGATTCACAAATACAGACTCCAAAACGATTACAAGGAATGACTGCACCACGAGCTCGTATGCCTGTATGTCTTTCTTACTGTATCAAGGTTAAAAAGGTTACTTCAAGAGGTATGTCCAAGGTCTAGTGTCTGTTTCCAGCCAAGGTCTAGACAATTAAATATTTGTGAGTAGCTTATCCATTACCCGATGAATTTGTTACCATACAATATCACTGAGTGGGTGAGTGAGTTGGGTTTGTGGCCGCTTAGCAATATTCCAGCAATATCACGGCGGGTGACACCAGAAATGGGCTTCCCACATTGCATCCATGTGAGGAGTCGAACCCGGGCCGAACACACACACACGCACGCACGCACGCTCGCACGCACGCACGCACGCACGCACGCACACACACACACACACACACCACCACCACCACCACCATCACCCATGCAATATCAATGAGCAGACAAAGAGACTTGAAAGACTTTAACCAAGTCTGATGTTGAAACAGGTCCGAATCTAGACCCACTGTGAATTGTTGTCGTTTGTTATATGACCTTTGATCCATGTAAAGATGGAACATGATCATTCGAAATTATCATCATGTCGACATGTCCCTCTGGTCCTTTAAGTCACGAATGAAACCTGTCACCAGTCTGGAACCTACCAAGATCGATGGAATGGGAACTAGGAACGTACATTAGTGTAAAAGCTACCTGTCTCCAATCGATACCATGGGTAATTTGGTACATAGAGGCAGATATGTATTTCGATATCTGTGAAACGAATTCTGTGATGGATAAAAAACCCACAGGTATAGCGTTTACTTAAATCCATCTCTCAGGCGTCATGGGCGGGATAACACACCTATGCTACACAAATACATGGGGGAGTTCCATTGTTAATTTGTTACTATGGTTACCAGTAACGGTACCTGAGGTTCGAATTTATAAGATGTTGGGTATTTTTCAAATGTTCGTTTTTGTTTGGTTGGGTTGTTGTTTGACACCGCACTCAATTGTTAATAATCGAGTCGGGGCCAGACAATCCAGTGATCAACAGCATGAGCATCGATCTTCGCAATTGGGATACGATGGCATGTGTCAACCAAGTCAGCGAGCCTGACCACCCGATCCCGTTAGTCGCCTCTTAAGACAAGCAAGACCAATTCTAACCTGGATCTTCACGTGTCGTATTAAATGATCAAACACACTGAGTATAAATGATACATGAATCACAAACCACAAAAATAGTACAGGGTTCTTGATTGTCATTGTTTGTTAACAACAATCGTACGGGCTTGAGTTATGGTATCGTTGCTTCTTTGGAGGCCGATCAGGGCTGAGCGATAGACAGGGACAGAACATATCTCATTATTAGGATACGTATTGAATGTTTATGCCTAACAAGTGTCTAATACGTATCTAATACGCATCTGAACAACACCATGTACGATTTTCACCATGATTCACACGTAAACAAAGCCATTCAAATCGTTTCCCCGACTAGAAAGAAACAAGCACCCCTGAGTGAAGACGCATGTTTGCTGTTTACGGAGGTAATGATCAAACGTGGGGGCACCACGTAGGTCAGCCCTCCAAGGAGGATGCCAGGATGATGCAGACATATGAGGCTAATTTCCTCCGTGAGAGGTGTTTGGTAACGACCGGAGATCCTGCTTTCAAGCTGAAGGTTGGACATACCGTTTCGACTTTCTGCAGAGATCGGATATTGTCACAGCAGTAGCTTTATGAATACTGACAGTAATCAGAATTTGTTTGCCAGATATATATAGACACTTCTTCGGGCATCTGACCTACTTGGACTCTGGCACCGTGCCATATAAATTCGCTTTCGGGCAAAGGATGGGACATTTATTAAAGGTTATGTTATTCATAATTCATAAACCTAATTAAAAAACGCTTCTCTGTGGGGCTAGACTTGATCAGTTTAACATTTTTTGCAAGTTTATACATGAAATATATATCCACTTGTTTGGTGACTCCACACGTTTTGTGACCAAACCAAACAGTTAACGAATTTTAAGTCTTAGCAAGATGGACGTAATTCAATACAGTGTTGCCCTTAAACTGAACTTATGGCTTACAATACGCCAGCATGTAGTCCAGGAATAAAGTTACGTATGAGGTGATTCTATAATTGTGTTATGCTCCTCTAGCAATATTTCTGAAGTGCGCTTCACCTTGCATCCATGTTGGGAATCAAACCCAGCTTGCGTCGTGACCCCTAGGCGTTACCCTTGTGTGAACCGGTCCACACCCAGTAAGACACAAACACTTCCTCATTTACAAGAACTCAGAAACAATTATCTCGACTCCCATGGTAACTGTAGAGGACACGTAATAAAATATCCGCTATATTCACAACGACCTTGCAAATTTGACCGTAGAATTAGATATTGACGTCGTTTCTATGGTTTCTGGGTTTTTATAGAGAACTTTAATCTCTTTTGCGTTCATAAAAAAATGTTTGTAAGTTAAGAAATGTTTGGTAATGTGGCTATGCTGTGATATTACTTTTGAGTTAATTTGAAGTTAATTTAGAATAATTTTCATAAAGAATATCCAGAAGAAACCACAAACGATCTTCGAGCAAACGTTCTCAGAATAGCTGAACGATAGTATCGGGTATTGTTTTTGCAAAATATGCGCAAATCATTTTCTCTCAGGAAAATTGGAAATGTGCAAATTTGTGAATTGAAACAGTTCTGAAATCATTATATTTTTATATCCGTGGTTATTTCATAGAGGTTTTGGAAATATATCTTTCCAGTGTGAAATTGTTTTTCCGTTGTTTTGTTGTGCGTCGTTGAAGCCTAGGTTCCTTACGGTATATATTTCTTAAGAAGTCATTATATTCCTTAAAAAACATAGTCGAATATTTAAACAAAGATACCTCTTAACTTAGAGTTTTTGCAAAGTTTAAAGATCACATCTGTCAGCATTTACAAGTAATGAATATTTACCATTTGTGAAGGCATATTAGACCTGTAATCTATACAAGTTGTGTGATAAAAAAACCAAGTAATACGCCATCATTATGATAACCATCTCAAGTTATATACCTGGCAGACCCTAATCCGCATGCAATACACGATTAGTATTCCTTAATCACCTTAATTACATTTACAAGAGAACATACTCCTTAAATGTTCCATTTGTCAGTAAATCAGCGGGTTTTCCACAATCGTTGTAGTTAGAGTGGTGCGCGGACATGAGCTCAGTGAGTAGGCTTTAAGAGTGCTACTAGTAGGATTAACATAGTTTTGTAGAATGGTCATTATGTGTTTCCACGAAGGACGTCCGGGATCTAAATAGAAGCGGCAAATCCCTTTTCACATTTATAAGAATTCTCTGTTAAAAGCAGAGTCGATTGTACAATTGTGACTGTATCATGAATGTATGTTTGATTCAGAAGTATTACAGCTCTGTACAATGTTGTTTGTAAACAAATCGAGTCTGGACCAAACAATCGAGTAATTGTCTCCACGCGATACGATGACAGAGCATGTGTTTATGAATCACTATGAAATAGTGTGGTACCAGGTGTTCGCGAAAAGGTGAGCGTATGCTGCCCAACCGGTAGCCGTTTCAAGAACTAACCAATTCAACAAAGCTGCAATAGTGTCCCAGCAGTAACTTTATGCTTTCTGACAGTAATCAGTAATCAGAATTTGTTTGCCAGATGTACATAGACGCATGGGACATAGATAGATGCGGCTCTTGTACATTGGACAATCGCATGGTATGATAAATACACATAGTCCCGGAGACAAAACTGATCATGAACATGAGGGAAATTCCTTGAAACCAGACCCGTGAAGATCCGGGTTAGAATTGATCTTCAATAACCCATGCTTGTCGTATGAGGCGACTAACGGGATCGGGTGGTCAGGCTTGCTTACTTGGTTGAGACATGTCATCGTATCCCAATTGCCTAGATCGATCTTGATCACTGGATTGTTTGGTCCAGACTCGATTATTTACAGACAGCCGCCATATAGCTGTAATATTACTGAGTGCGACGTTAAACTATACTCACTCACTCATTCACTCATTCACTCATTCACTCACTCACTCACTCACTCACTCACTCATTCACTCATTCATTCATTCATTCACTCACTCACTCCTTGAAACCAGATGTACTTACAGTCCTCTGCAATCATCTTGATGCACTGTGTGCCCGGGAATTGGCCTACCCTTCCCTTCCTGGATGCCCAGCAGTTCTCAATATAGTACTTCCCGGTGTTGTTAAATGTATCCTCACATTCAACATTGCTGTGGTTGATAGACGTACACGCAAAACACCCAATGCCATCACCTGAAACAGAAGGAAGACGATTAGTACCAGGATTGAATGAATAAAATATGATAAACATACACTGCTTTTCTCCGATATCAAGTTGGTACTCTATTTTGCATGACACAAAACAGGGCGTGAGGCTTTATTCAGTGACGTCTTCTTAAAATATGGCACACAATCATTGGTGTGTTAAGTTCATCTTTGTCATCATTATCTGGAGAACCATGTTGCACCATGGCCCGGTATCACTGGATGTTTCACTGTGACTATAGTCTGTGTCACAGTCCCTGAACCACATCATTTTCCCTACAGCCCTAAGCCTAGCCTAGCAATAAAAGCCCTAAATGAAGCAAGTCTAGATTTCTCCAGGTTCTGAATCACTGGTTTCCCTGGAGTTCTTTTTCAATTTCAATGGGTTTATTAGTTACAATCAAAATTATATATACTCATATATCATCAATTTTCAGAGGGGTGTGACGTGGGTGTGTAAGTGTAAGTCTATTGGCATGAGTATGTATTCAGAGACTAAGCGTTAGTCTACTTTGACTATCGTCTGTGTCTTTAGTGATGGCCAGATAACCTATGGTCGTTGCTGACTACGTAAATCCGGCTGGGGAATCATGCAGCAAGATAAGGTATTATATATCCCCATGATCTCCAAATGGGTGGTGCCACTTTGACTATTGTAACAGGAGTTTAATAGATACGACTGATTTTTTTATATAGCTATGTCTTTTAATGTTGATGACGTTTATTGTAGGTTAAACTGTGATACACATTACCGTTTTACTTTTCTGATACTCTAATGATTATATAAGGTGTTTTGTTGCTGATAACCTGGCAGATTTGTGATATTGTGTCACGGCTAACATGACGAACCAGTAATATTACGTTACTGATAGCATGGCAAGCCATTGATACTCCGGCCGCTCAAAGTATGCAAAACCGCTTGCATGAGTGAAACAAAATACCGGAACTTGACATAATTGCCTCATGACTGTCACTAAATAGCTACAGAACACAATCCAACCCCAGACCTTGATCTAGATGTACAACTTGCAGCCATATGCCGTTTCTGCTGGAGCTGCAAAGAACCAGTTATGGTGGCATTTCATAGATATTATTCTTTTGAGCAATTAACATAGAATAAAGTCGACCACTATCATTAAAACCACTGTTGACATACACTCATCCACACATGCATCAGTGTCAGTAATGGTTCGGGTCCGTTACTGTTGGTGAACCGTTCGTGCAACGAAGCAAAGATAGTTCTTACAATTATACCATGCAAGCATAATCCACTATGCCATATAGGGACTATTTATGCATGAACAACAATACAATAATTTTGATTAACCACAGCCAGATAAGGGGTGATGGGGTAGCCCAGTGGTTAAAGCGTTCGCTCATCACGCCGAAGACCCGGGTTCGATTCCCCACGTGGGCACAATGCGTGAAGCCCATTTCTGGTGTCCCCAGCCGTGATATTGCTGGAATATTGCTAAAAGCGGCGTAAATCTAAGCTCACTCTAAACACACCCACACCAATTTTTTCCATATCCTGTGTAACACTAAAACAGGCGACGTGTTACTTTAAGTGGATGTGATGCTAAAACATTTCATTAAACGTCAAGTTTCAGTTCTACTCGAGAATAAAAACTATAAAAACACCCCGAAACATTATAGGAGTTCGTCAAATAGTTCATTAGAACTGATTGGTTTTCATCACCTAAAAACACGCGTTCATTTAATTTACAAAACCGATATAGCAATTTTTACATTCTGTAAAGAAAACAAATTAGGTTTGTAACAAACACGAAAACGTTACCTTAATCAAAGAGATACTTCTTCAATTGGATTTCTCTTTGAAGATAATTCGCCTCACGAACGTACCCAATATCCCATGGTGTTCCGAGTTAAAACAGAATGCGATGAATGATGGCACGGTGCGTAACTGATCGTTTCGGCATGGTTAGGTGATCATAGCATACATAATAAACCTCTGCATCAAAGACACACCTTGTCAACTATTCTTTATTGTCATAGATGAAAGAAAACATTTCTGCTTTATTGAATAAATGTAATGAGAAAATGCGGTTTGCTTAAGTATCGACAATTGATGCTTAAGAATGACAACCATTTTGTTAGGTTTACCTTTACTGTAGTTTGTATATGTTTATTAATAATAAGCATAATAATTTGGGAACATTTTCTAACCGGAATTATGCTCAGTGTCATGCTGGGAGCGGGGTTGGCGGAGTTACAACCGCTGTGCAGAGTTATTCCCCTTTGTTGTTACCGGAACTGACATAGGAATCGCGAAACTGTTGTATAGAATTGCAGTAATATGACGTCAGGGACACCGATAACTATACTTGTATCGTTGTGGAGAATCCACGCTTGACGTTACCCAACGTTCCCCGTTCAATTTAAGTTCAAATCTTGATTTATAACGGTAAAGACCTTAATCCATCCCTCTTAACCCTAACTCTCTTAAACTGAGACATACTACGGAACTGACGGACAAAATAAGACAAAAATCCATGGTAACCTGCTGGGCCTATTTCCGAGTCATGCATGGAAAGAGGAAGTCACGTGACAAACCAGTACGCCACGAATCTAACCTCCCGTATCTTAATTGTGAAATATTAAGCGCAAAGCGCGTACTAACAGGCAGACCAGTTAGGGATGGTGGCATTCTCACACTTGGCATTTTATTACCCACAAGTCAGAGCAACTTCCTCCCTCAAATTCCATATTGATTTTCTAACTCTACAGCGGCCTGATGCTAAAAATAGCCCCAAACTGTCGATGAAATGTCAGAAACATTGTTCAGTGTTGGGGCTTGTGCTTCTTAGATTCAATTTACGATCATGCGTCTTTTCGGGAAAAAAACAAGTTTATCAATAATGCATTTAATAAAGTCTAATACAGAAAGACAAACAACATATTTCGGGAATATGCTTTTATCCAAGAGTTATTTAATTTTGTATATTTATGTCTGTAAAAATGGTCTATGTATAGCATGTTTGACATTTAGAATGGTGATAAACACGATTGCTCATTGTTCCAGAGACCAGCGTTCAAACCCAGGTCGGTTCAAAAATAGCTTTGTTGTTTGTTTTATCAGCGTCAATCACCGTACAATTTTATCAGTGCATATGCTGGACAAAAATAGTTAGGGATATATGTAAATTTTGAAATTATGAATAATGATCTATTTATTCATTGACACACTGATAAAATATCAATCATAAAAATACCAATATCCCTAACTGAGTTTGTCCAGTATATGAACTGACCAAACAGAGAATACGGAGGATAAATGGGTAAATACTTTTCGACTGCTGTTATATACAGGATCTAGAAGATTAATGGATAAATGGACTTCGGTTACCTAGAGCAAGTCTGGATGACTTAAAAGGAAAACATGTTCGATTAATGTGTATATGTACTAAACGGCGGACATGATGGGGAAAATGATGAATTTAAAAATAGATAGATGGATGGTTGACTTACTTATATGGAAAGGTAGAATAAAGGGTAGACAGATTGATGGTTGACTTAAAAAGGGAAATGGTTGATTAATGTGTAGATAGAAAAATGGCTGGCCTTATATGGAAAATTGTGGATTAATTGGTTGATAGATTAATGGTTGATTTAATAGGGCAAATGATGGATTAATGAGTAGATATGTTGATGGTTATTTAGTAAAGGCAAATTGTGGATTAAGGTAGGTGGATTGATGGTTGATTTAATAGGGGCAAGGGTTGATTAATGGGTAGTTAGACGGATAGTTGACTTAACAGAGAAAAAGATGGATTAATAGGTAGATAGACTGATAGACGTACTAGGGCAAATTGTGGATTAACGAGTGGATGGACTGAGTGAGTGAGTGTGTATAGTTTTACGCCATTGCGAGATTGTGCGCCGGTCTACATGAGTGAGTGAGTATGACTGACTGACTGACTGAGTTTGGTTTTACGCCGCTTTAAGCAATATTCCACCAACATCACGACACCAGAAATGGGCTGCACACGTTGTGCCCATGTGGGGATTCGAACCCGGGTCTTCGGCGTGACGAGCCAACGCTTTAACCATTAGGCTACCCCACCGCCCCTGAGTGAGTATGAAATATTCCTGCAATATCACGGCGGGGGACACCAGAAATGGGCTTATCACATTGTACCCATGTGGGGAACCGAACCCGGGTTTTCGGCGTGACGAGCGGACGCTTTAACCACAAGGCTACCCCACCCCCCGGGTGGATGGATTGACAGTTGACTTAACATGGGAAATGATGGATTTTGGGTTCGTAATGAGACTATAAGTGAAGATACGTAACAGCTTCTTGTTAAGGAAGGGGTGATCAGAAGGTCAGATACACTTGTTAGATGAATGTAACAGTATACGCCAACACCAGGCACCAATCAGTAACGACAGCATCCAGTGGTCGTAAAGGGCAACAGTAGTGATGAAAACTGATCACTGAAAACCAATGATGGCACCAGACGGTAATGGCACATAATGCCCTGAAGCAATTTACCAAACTGGAACTCGTTCCAATGTGTTGTAAACATTTCACCAGATGATTTAGTTGTAATGTGGTTGTTCGTTTACAAATAGTTTACATGATCACCAGTACTACTTCCAATTGTATGCTCTGATTCCCCTCATCGACCCATCCATGGATGTTTCGTAGAGGAACTAGTTCATTAGAGACTGTTGCCGCGTTCGTAGACTTATAGTGAGTAAGTGAATGAGTGAGTTTGGTTTTACGCCGTTTTTAGCAATATTCCAGCAATATCACGGCGGGGGATACCAAAACGGGTCTTCGGCGTGACGAGCGAAAGCGGTAGACATACAGATGATGTAGACAGAGGGTGGACTTAAAATGGCAACTGGTATTTTTATAGTTAGATATGGCGTCATTTTGCAACTGACTGGCTCCTCGTACGCTGTCAGTTCTAAAACCAAACTAACCAGATTATATCATATCACTTGTAGTTTTAACATAT